CCTGTGTCACTGCACGCAGTCCCTGCTGATGTCCCCAATGTCCCCTGTCAGGGGCCCTGTGTCACTGCACGCAGTCCCTGCTGATGTCCCCAATGTCCCCTGTCCCAGGGGCCCTGTGTCATTGCACGCAGTCCCTGCTGATGTCCCCAATGTCCCCTGTCCCAGGGGCCCTGTGTCACTGCACGCAGTCGCTGCGGCAGCGCCTGGACGAGCTGCGCCTGCTGCAGCTGCAGCGCCGGGGGGAGCGGGAGCTGCTGCGGGGCCGCTGGGGCCAGGCCCGGGAGCTGGTGCTGCACCTGCGGGGACAGCGCGGGGACAGCCACGGGGACAGCCACGGGGACAGCCATGGTGACAGCAACGGGGACAGCAACAGGGAGAGCAACGGGGACAGCAACAGGGAGAGCAACGGGGACAGCCCTGAGGACACCACCGACACCCCCGGGGATGACAGGGATGCCAAGGACACCCCCAGGGACATCAGGGACATCCCTGGGGACGTCAGGGACACCCCTGAGGACACCAAGAACACCTCCGGGGACATCAGGGACACCCTCAGGGACATCAAGGACGCCCCCGGGGACATCGGGGACACGCTTAGGGACACTCTCAGGGACACTGGGGACATCTGCAGGAGCACCCCTGACACCAGCACCAAGGTATGTGTGGTCCTCCGCACTGTGTCCCCCGCTCCGTGTCCCCTCTGTCCCCCCCGTGTCCCCCCACCCCTCCCACTGCACCCACCATGTCCCCTTTGTGTCCCCCAATGTCCTCCCTGCTCCCCCCAGTGTCCCCTCCCTGGCCCCCCAGCCCCCCCGGACCATCCCCCCTGTCCCCCCTCTCCCCTGGGGACTCTCCGATGTCCCCCCTGTCCCCTGGGGACTCCCCGATGTCCCCAAGCCCCCCTGATCCCCCCTCGTGTCCCCCCAGCTCCGAGGAGCAGCTGAGGCAGCGCTTGGCAGAGGCTGAGAACGGGGACAGCAACAACAATGGGGACACCTGGGGACAATGGGGACCCCTGGGCACAGTCTGGGGGCACTTTGGGGACAGTCTGGGGGTGCTTTGGGGGCACTTTTTGACCACTCTGGGGACACCTGGCAACAGTCTGGGGACACTTGGGGGCAATCTGAGGGAACTTGGGGACAGTCTGGGGGTACTTGGGGACACTTGGGGATATCTGGGGACACTTGGGGCCACTTTTTGACCACTCTGGGGACACTTGGGGGCACTTTGGGACACCTTGGAGTACTTTGGGGACACTTTGGAGTCACTTCAGGGGCACTTTGGGGACAGTTGGGACATTTTGGGTCACTTGGAGACACTTGGGGACATTTGAGGACACACTGGGGACACCTGAGGGCTCTTGGGGACACTTTGGGGACCCCCCCAGATGGGTGGTGGCCACAGCTGAGGGGGGCTGGGGGTGTTGGGGACACTCGGGGGACACTCCCCAGACTGGTGACACTGCCAGCATGTGTGGGGAAGGTTTGGTGACCCTTGGTGACATTGGGGACAGGCTGGTGGCACTGCGGGCGCACATGGGCAGGGTTTGGTGACACCAGTGACCCTTGGTGACACTGTCCCCAGGCTGGTGGCCCTGCATGCCCGCGTGGGGTGGGTTTGGTGCCATTTGGTGACATTGGTGACATTTGGTGACAGGCTGGTGGCCCTGCGTGCCCGGGTGGCCGTGGCCGAGCTCCGGGCTCAGGACGTTTCCTGCGCGGCCGAGCTGCAGCTGCAGGGACTGCGGCGCCAGCTGGAGGTACTGGGGGACCTGGGGACACTTTGGAGTCACTTCAGGGGCACTTTGGGGACAGTTGGGACATTTTGGGTCACTTGGAGACACTTGGGGACATTTGAGGACACACTGGGGACACCTGAGGGCTCTTGGGGACACTTTGGGGACCCCCCCAGATGGGTGGTGGCCACAGCTGAGGGGGGCTGGGGGTGTTGGGGACACTCGGGGGACACTCCCCAGACTGGTGACACTGCCAGCATGTGTGGGGAAGGTTTGGTGACCCTTGGTGACATTGGGGACAGGCTGGTGGCACTGCGGGCGCACATGGGCAGGGTTTGGTGACACCAGTGACCCTTGGTGACACTGTCCCCAGGCTGGTGGCCCTGCATGCCCGCGTGGGGTGGGTTTGGTGCCATTTGGTGACATTGGTGACATTTGGTGACAGGCTGGTGGCCCTGCGTGCCCGGGTGGCCGTGGCCGAGCTCCGGGCTCAGGACGTTTCCCGCGCGGCCGAGCTGCAGCTGCAGGGACTGCGGCGCCAGCTGGAGGTACCGGGGGATCTGGGGACACCTGGGGACACCTGGGGACAGCCCTGGGGAAAGAGGGACACCTGGGACAGGGGACACCTGGGGACATGGGGACAGCCCTGGGGACATGGGAACACCTGGGGCAGGAGAGACCTGGGGACATGGGGACAGCCCTGGGGACATGGGAACACCTGGGGCAGGAGAGACCTGGGGACATGGGGACAGCCCTGGGGAAAGGGGGGCACCTGGGACAAGGGACACCTGGGGACATGGGGACAGCTGGGGACGCAGGGACAGCTGGAGGTACCAGGGGGACATGGGGACAGCTGGGAACACTGGGGACACCTGGGGATAGCCCTGGGGACACTGGGGAAAGGTGGGAACACAACACACCTGCGGATAGCCAGGGACATGCAGAGGGTGACAGTGTCCCTGTCCCTGTCCCCAGCAGGACAAGGCCCAGGTGCCAGCAGGGTGACAGTGTCCCTGTCCCTGTCCCCAGCAGGACAAGGCCCAGGTGCAGGCCCAGGTGACGTCGCTGCTGGGGGAGCTCCGGGAGAGCCAAAATCGCCTGGAGAGGAGCCGGGCGGAGAGGGAGCACCTGGAGCGCAGGTGGGGACATGGGGACACCTGGGGGGACATGGGGACACCTGGGGGTCAGGGACTGTCCCCAAGGGGAGGGGACACCACAGCAGAGCTGGGCAGAGCGGGAGCACCCAGAGCGCGGGGGGGGTGACACCAGTGCAGGTGACACCTGTGCAGGTGACATCGGGTGACACTGGGTTGTCACAGGGCTCAAGGGATGCTGGGTGGTGCCACCAGCTCAAGGAGGTGACATTGGGTGACACTGGGTGACACACAGAGCCCACAGGGATGCCGGGCAGTGCCACCAGTTTGAGGAGGTGGCAGGGGGTGGCACAGGGTGACAGTGGGGTGACACGGTGGCACTGTCCCAGGGCCCATGGGGACACTGAGCGGTGCCAGCAGCTGGAGGAGGTGACAGGGGGTGGCACAGGGTGACAGTGGGGTGTCCCTGTGTCGCAGGGCCCACGGTGACACCGAGCGGTGCCAGCAGCTGGGGGAGGTGGCACAGAGTGACAGTGGGTGACAGTGGGTGACAATGGGTGTCCCTGTGTCGCAAGGCCCGCAATGACGCTGAGTGGTGCCAGCAGCTGCGGGAGGTGGCACAGGGTGACAGTGGGTGACAATGGGGTGTCCCTGTGTCGCAAGGCCCGCAATGACGCTGAGTGGTGCCAGCAGCTGCGGGAGGTGGCACAGGGTGACAGTGGGTGACAATGGGGTGTCCCTGTGCCGCAGGGCCCACGGTGACGCCGAGCGGTGCCAGCAGCTGGAGGAGGTGGCCCAGGGCCACCAGGTGCAGCTGGACCAGCTCCGGCTGCAGGTGACCAACCTGGAAACCGCCCTGAGGGTGGAGCGGCGCGGGGCCACCGAGGAGAAGTGAGTGACAACGGGGACATGGGGACATGGGGAGGAGGGAGTGACAACGGGGATGTGGAGGGGGACATGGGTGGGGTGGCACCTGGGGACACCCACTGTTGTCCCCAGTGTCCCCTCACTGTCCCCAGTGTCCCAGGTGGGAGTTGGTGGCACTCAAGGCCACCTGTCCCAGTGAGGGGACACAGGGGAGGGAGTGACACTCTCAATGTCCTCAGTGTCCCCAAGGCAGAAGCCACCTGTCCCTGATGATGTCTCCCCAATGTGCCTGATGATGTCCCCAGTGTCCCCTTGCTGTCCCCAATGTCCCCAGTGATGTTCTCAATGTCCCCAATGTCCCCTTTCTTGTCCCCAGGTGGAAGTTGGTGCAGCTGCACCTGTCCCCTCAATGTCCCCAATGTCCCCAGTCAGTGTCCCCAATCAATGTCCCCAATGTCCCCATTCAATGCCTCCAATCAACATCTCCAATGTCCCTGCAATGTCCCCAGTCGATGTCCCCAATGTCCCCAGTCGATGTCCCCAGTGTCCCCAGTCAATGTTCTCGATGTCCCCAATGTCCCCAGTTAGTCCCTCAGACAGTCCCCAGTCACTGTCCCCAATGTGCCAGGCAGAAGCTGGTGCAGCTGCAGGCTGCTTGTCCCCACTGTCCCCAGTCACTGTCCCCAGTGTCCCCACTGTCCCCAGTCACTGTCCCCAATGTCCCTAATGTCCCCAGTCACTGTCCCCAGTGTCCCCAGTGTCCCAGGAGAAAGCTAGTGCAGCTGCAGGCCGCCTGTCCCCAATGTCCTCAGTCACTGTCCCCAGTGTCCCCAATCACTGTCCCCCATGTCCCCAATGTCCCCAGGAGGAAGCTGGTGCAGCTGCAGGCCACCTGTCCCCAATGTCCCCAGTGTCCCCAGTGTCCCCAGTGTCCCCAGTCATTGTCCCCAGTGTCCCCAATGTCCCCAATGTCCCCAGTCAATGTCCCCAATGTCCCCAATGTCCCCACTGTCCCCAGGAGGAAGCTGGTGCAGCTGCAGGCCGCCTACCATCACCTGTTCCAGGAGTACGACGCCCACATCAAGGCCAGCCTGGAGGGGGACAAACGGAGCCAGGTGAGGGACAGGGGACACCTGGGGACACCTGGGGACACAGAGGGTCACGTTCCCTCCCCTGGGGACCCCAGGGCAGCCCCTTGTCCCCTGTTCCATTTCCTCTTGAGGACACCTGGAATGTCCCTGTGGTGGTTCAGGTGCCCTCAGGTGAGTCCCCAGGTGACAGTGCCACCCCCCAGGTGGCACAGGTACCCCCCAGGTGTCATTTTAGTGCCCCAGATGACACAGGAGCGTGCAGGTGGGTGCTGGAGGTGACACAGGTGACATCCCCAAGGTGTCACTGTCCCCCTGCAGGTGACCCAGGAGCAGCTGAGTCTGCACTTGTGGGCCAGGGGGTGACAGAAGTGTCCCTCAGGTGACTCCCAGGTGACACAGGAGCAGCTCCGTGCGGCTGAGGCTGCGCTGGGGGTGCAGTGGGGGTGACTGGGCGAAGCGGCGCTGGGGAGCGCGGGAGCGGAGCCGAGCGGGGACCCCCGGGAGCCCCAAAATCCCCCCAACCCCCCCCAAATTCCCCATTTCCCAGGGCCCGTCTGGAGGAGATGCGGAACCGCCACTCGGAGCCGGCCCCGGCCCCGGCCCCAGCGGGGGGTGAGTACAGAGGGGGGGCCCAGGACCCCCAAATCCCCCGTGGAGGGGAGGGGCAGGGCCTGACCGTGCCCCTCCCCCTGTCCCCCCGCAGGTTTTGGGGGGCTCCTGCCGCCCCCCGAGGAGGGGCCCGACCTGTGCTGCCCCAAGTGCCAGTACAAGGCTCCGGACATGGACACGCTGCAGATCCACGTCATGGACTGCATCAAGTGAGGGGGGCCCAAAACCCCCCCAGCACCCCAAAAACAGCCCCAGGGCACCCCAGAATCACCCCCAGGGGCACCCCAAAACTCCCAGGAGCCTCAACCCAGGGGGGACCCCAAAAACCCCCAGATAATCCTCTGGGAATCCCCTCTCTGGATCTACGGCAGGGATTGGATCAGGTGTGGGGGGAGCACCCCAAAATCACCCCCAGGACCCCCCCAAACCCCCCTAGAGCCTCAGCCTGGGGTTTTGGGGCTTGGGAACCCCAAATATTCCTCTGGGAATCTCCTCTCTGGATCCACGGCAGGGATTGGATCATTTTGGGGGGGGGCACCTCAAAACCCCCTCATGGAACCCCAAAATCCTCCCAGGGAACCCCAAAACCGTGGGGCAGCACCACCAGCAGCCCCCCTGGGAAAGAACGGGGGTGTCACCCCAAAAACACCCCAAACACATCCCAAACACTCCCCAAAAACAGCCCCAAACCAGCCCAAACACACCTCAAAAACACCCAAGAACCATCCCCAAAACACCCCAGAACTCCGGGCACCCCAAAACCCCGGCAACCCAAAACCACCCCAGAATACCTCAAAACACCCCAGAACACCCCAAAACCCCGGGCACCCTGAAACCTGGGCACCCCAAAACCGTGGGCACCCCAAAACCCCGGGTGGGGAAATGTGGCTTGAGGGGAAATTTTCATCCAAAACGGGGAGTTTGGGGATCTCTCCCGCCATTTTTGGGGAATTACCCTCTGATTTTGGGATCCCTCCCTCCGTTTTTGGGGTCCTTCCCACCAATTTTGGCATCCCTCCCCCCATTTTTGGCATCCCTCCCCTCATTTTTGGGATCCCTCCCTCCATTTTTGGAGGTCGCTCTGTTTTTGGGATCCTTCCCCCCCCCATCCCCCCTTTTCCCCTCCCCTTTCCCGTTTTTGGGCTTTTTCTCCCCATTTCCAGGGTCCTGCTGCCAGAGCTGATCCAATGTGCCCCCATTCCCCCCCTTATCGGAGCCCTCCACAATTTTAGGGTCCCTTTTTCTCCCCATTTCCAGGGTCCTGTGCCCCCACTCCCCCCCTTATCGGAGCCCTCCACAATTTTAGGGTCCCTTATCCTGTTTTTAATGTTCCTTATCCCGTTCTTGGGGTCCCCACCCCATTTTTAGTGTCCTTTATCCTGTTTCTGGGCTTCCCTATCCCGTTTTTGGGATCCTCTATCCCATTTTTCGGATCTCTTATCCCATTTTTAGCACCCCTAATTCCATTTCTGAGGTCTCTTATCCCATTTTCAGGGTCCCTTATCCCGTTTTGGGGGTCTCTTATCCCATTTTTAACACCCCAAGTTCCATTTTTGGGGTATTTTAGCCCGTTTCCAGGTTCCTGTCACCGCGTACAGCGCCCCCTGCTGGCCCACTCAATCCACCTCCCCCAATTTTCAGCGCCCCTTTTCCCACTTTTGGAATCCCTCACCCCATTTTCAGCGTCCCCCACCCCAATTTTTGTGCCCCTTTTCCCATTTCCAGGGTCCCCAGCCTCATTTTTAGGTACCCCCACCATTTTTGAACTCCTCCCTGACCCCTTTTTTATGGCTCCTGCCACTGCACACACTGCCCCCTGCTGGCCGGGAGGACCCATCGTTCCCTTTATTCCCACCCCCCTCAATTTTGGGGTCCCTTTTCCCATTTTCAGGGTCCCCCACCCGCTTTTTGGTGCCCCTTCTCCCATTTCTGGGGTTCCCAGCCCCATTTTCAGTGCTCCTCTCCCCATTTTTGGCATTTTTCTTCCCATTTCTGAGGGCCGTGCCACGCTGCACAGCACCCCCTGCTGGCCGGGATGACCCAGTGTCCCCTCACATCGACCCCGCCATTTTCGGGCTCCCCAACCCCATTCCCAGAACCCCCAACCCCATTCCCAGAACCCCCAGTCCCATTCCCAGAGGCCCCAGTCCCACTCCCAGAGCCCCTGTTCCCATTTTCGAGCTCACCAATCCCATTCCCAGTGCCCCTGTTGCCATTCCAGGCTCCCCAATCCCATTTTCAGTCCCCAATCCCATTCCCAGTGCCCCCTACCCCATTTTCGGGGTACTCAATCCCATTTTCAGAGTTCCCAATCCAATTTTCAGGGCCCTCAGTCCCATTCCCAGCACCCCTTTTCCCATCCTTTTCCCATTTTCAGGGTCCCCCACCCGCTTTTTGGTGCCCCTTCTCCCATTTCTGGGGTTCCCAATCCCATTTTCAGTGCTCCTCTCCCCATTTTTCTTCCCATTTCTGAGGGCCGTGCCACGCTGCACAGCACCCCCTGCTGGCCGGGATGACCCAGTGTCCCCTCACATCGACCCCGCCATTTTCGGGCTCCCCAACCCCATTCCCAGAACCCCCAACCCCATTCCCAGAACCCCCAGTCCCATTCCCAGAGGCCCCAGTCCCACTCCCAAAGCCCCTGTTCCCATTTTCGGGCTCACCAATCCCATTCCCAGTGCCCCTGTTGCCATTCCAGGCTCCCCAATCCCATTTTCAGAGTCCCCAATCCCATTCCCAGTGCCCCTTACCCCATTTTCGGGGTACTCAATCCCATTTTCAGAGTTCCCAATCCCATTCCCAGTGCCCCCCACCCCATTTTCAGGGTACTCAATCCCATTTTCAGAGTTCCCAATCCAATTTTCAGGGCCCTCAGTCCCATTCCCAGCACCCCTTTTCCCATTTTCGGGCTCCCCAGTCCCATTTTCAGAGTCCCTAATCCCATTTCCAGAGCACTTTTTCCCATTTTCAGGGTCCCCAGTGCCATTCCCAGTGCCCCCAGTCCCATTTTCAGGGTCCCCAGTCCCATTTTTGGGGTCTCCAATCCCATTCCCAGTATCTCAAATCCCGTTTTTGGGGTTTCTAATCTCGTTTTGGGGCCATACTTGATGTCTTGGGGGCAGTGCCCTGCAGCAGCCCCCAATCCCATTTTTAGGGTCCCCAGTCCCATTTTTGGGGCCTCCAATCCCATTCGCAGTGCCCCCAGTCCCATTTTTGGGGTCTCCAATCCCGTTTTTGGGGTTCCCCTGACTGTACCCTAGGTCTCAGGGGCAGTGCCCTGCAGCAGTGCCCCAGTCCCATACCCAGTGCCCCCAGTCCCGTTTTTGGTGTCCCCAGTCCCATTTTTGGGGTTCCCCTGGCCACACCCAAGATCTCGGGGGTGGTGCCCTGCAGCAGCCCCCAGTGCCATTCCCAGTGCCCCCAGTCCCATTTTTGGGGTCCCCAATCCCGTTTTTGGGGTTCCCAATCCCGTTTTTGAGGTTCCCCTGGCCGTACCCGAGGTCTCGGGGGCGGTGCCCTGCAGCAGTGCCCCGTAGCACTGCCCCCAATGCCATTCCCAGTGTCCCCAATCCCATTCCCAGTGTCCCCAGTCCCATTTTTGGGGTCCCCAGTCCCGTTTTTGGGGCCGTACCCGAGGTCTCGGGGGCGGTGCCCTGCAGCAGCCCCCCGCGGCCCCCGCAGGCCCGGCTGACGGCGGCCATGCAGGCGATGATGGGCAGGTTGTGGATGACGAAGGCCACGTCCAGGCGCTGCTGCGCCGCCAGTGCCCGTGCGTGCCCCAGCACCCCGAAACCCGTCACGTCGGTGGCCGCGTGCGCCCCGAAGGCTCGCATCAGCCCTGCCGCTGGGGACAGCAGGGGACACCTCAGGGGACAGGGACAGCAGGGGACAGGGACAGCTGAGGGGACAGGGACAGCTCAGGGGACAGGGACGGCTCAGGGGACAGGGACGGCTCAGGGGACAGGGACACCTCAAAGAACATGGACACCTCAGGGGACAGGGACAGCTCGGGGGACAGGGACAGCTCAGGGGACAGGGACATCTCAGGGGGACAGGGACAGCTCAGGGGACAGGAACAGCAGGGGACAGGGACACCTCAGGGGACAGGGACACCTCAAAGGACAGGGACAGCTCAGGGGACAGGGACACCTCAGGGGACAGGGACGCCTCAGGGGACAGGTACAGCTCAGGGGACAGGGAGAGCTCAGGGGACAGGGACACCTCAGGGGACAGCCCCCTGCCACTGGAGACAGGGACAGGGACAGGGACAGCTCAGCAAGGACAGTGCCACCTCACACAGCCCCCTACCACTGGGTGGCACAGAGAGCTCAGGGGACAGTGCCACCTCAGGGGGCAGGGACAGCTCAGGAGGCAGTGTCACCTCACACAGCCCCCTGCCATGGCAGGGGAACAGTGCCAGCTCAGGGGACATTGTCACCTCAGGGGAGGCAGTGTCACCTCAGGGAGGGACACCGTGTCACCTCACATGGACCCCGTGGTGGGGGAACACCGTGTCACCTCACACAGCCACCCCCAGTGTGGGGACACTCAAGGGGGGCTTTGGGGACACCCAGCCTGGCCTAGGAACACCCTGCAGTGGCTTTAGGGACTCCCCCGGTGGCTTTGTGTTCCCTGCAGTGGCTCAGGGGATCCCTGGGGTGGCTCTGGGGACATCTGGAGTGGCTTTGGCCAACCCTAGGGTGGCTTAGGGGACATCTTGGGTGGCTTTAGGAACCCCCTGATCACTTAGGGGCCTATGGCCACCCCAGGATGGCTCTGGGGACCCCCTGAGTCCCGTGGGTGGCCCTTGTCCCCAGGGTCACGCACCGGTGCGGTTCAGGGTGGCCATGCTGGCCACGGCCTCCTGGTAGGCCAGCTCCACCTCCTCGCGTGTCACCACCAGCTTGATCTTGTTCCAGCGCTCGGGCTGCGGGGACAGGGGTGGGACAGCGTCAGGGACACCTTGGGGACAGCCCCGCCGCGCTCAGGGTCCCTTTGGGGACACTGGGGGGGCTTTGGGGTGCCACTGGGGACATCTCAGGTGGATTTCAGTCCCGTTGTGGCTCCTCTGGGGACACCTGGGTGTCCCAGACCCGTCTGAGGTCCCCTGTCCCTTGTGGCCCCGCCCAGGTGCCCGCGGTGTCACTCACCATGTCCAGCCACTGGTGGGCGGTGACAGCCATGTGTGTCCCCAGGGGCTTGGTCAGCACCAGCACGTCCCCAGGCACGGCGCTGTCCGGCCTGGCCGGGGCTGGGGTCAGCATGGGACACGCCCCGGCCCATGTCCCCAAACCCCGCCCCATCTCCCAAGCCATGCCTGTCACTCAAATGAAAAGCCCACCTGATTGACAGCAATGGCACCACCCTGTCCCCAAGCCCCACCCACCACTCATGAGAATCTCACTTGATTGACACATGGCCATGACCACACCCCCTCCCAAGCCCCACCCACCACTCCAATCATGGCTTTCATTGGCAGCACTGACCCTGCCCCAGGCCCTGCTCCTCCCACTCAGAAATGATCGACAGGAGACAGTGGCTCCTCCCACCACAGCAATGATTGACAGGTGACAGTGGTCCCACCCCCACACAAATGATTGACAGGTGGCAGTGGTCCCTCCCACCACACCAATGATCAACAGGTGACAGTGGTCCCACTCCCACATCAATGATTGACATATGGCAGTGGCTCCTCCTACCATGCCAATGATTGACAGGTGACAGTGGCCCCTCCCACCACACCAGTGATTGACAGGTGGCAATGGCCCCACCCATCACACCAGTGATTGGCAGGTGGCAGTGGCCCTGCCCATCACACACATGATGAACTCGCTGGATTGGCAGACGGCGGTGGCCACGCCCCCCACGATGACCCAGGGGTTGAGCACGGTCTGTCCCCCTGTCACCGACGTCCCCCCGTCCTCGGCCGCGTCCCGGAAGCCCTGGATGATCAGCGGCATCACCTTGTCCCTCTCCTGGGGGGACACCACCGGCCCTGTCACCTCCCAGTGCCCTCTCACCCCCCCAGTGTCCCTGTCACCCCCAGGTCACTGTCACTTTCTCAGTATCCCTGTCACCCCCCCAGTATCCCTGTCACCCCCAGGTCACTGTCACTCTCTCAGTGTCCCTGTCACCCCCCCAGTGTCCCTGTCACCCCCAGGTCACTGTCACTTTCTCAGTATCCCCATGTCCCCAAACCCCGCCCCATCTCCCAAGCCATGCCTGTCACTCAAATGAAAAGCCCACCTGATTGACAGCAATGGCACCACCCTGTCCCCAAGCCCCACCCACCACTCATGAGAATCTCACTTGATTGACACATGGCCATGACCACACCCCCTCCCAAGCCCCACCCACCACTCCAATCATGGCTTTCATTGGCAGCACTGACCCTGCCCCAGGCCCTGCTCCTCCCACTCAGAAATGATCGACAGGAGACAGTGGCTCCTCCCACCACAGCAATGATTGACAGGTGACAGTGGTCCCACCCCCACACAAATGATTGACAGGTGGCAGTGGTCCCTCCCACCACACCAATGATCAACAGGTGACAGTGGTCCCACTCCCACATCAATGATTGACATATGGCAGTGGCTCCTCCTACCATGCCAATGATTGACAGGTGACAGTGGCCCCTCCCACCACACCAGTGATTGACAGGTGGCAATGGCCCCACCCATCACACCAGTGATTGGCAGGTGGCAGTGGCCCTGCCCATCACACCAGTGATTGGCAGGTGGCAGTGGCCCCGCCCATGGCTCACATGATGAACTCGCTGGATTGGCAGACGGCGGTGGCCACGCCCCCCACGATGACCCAGGGGTTGAGCACGGTCTGTCCCCCTGTCACCGACGTCCCCCCGTCCTCGGCCGCGTCCCGGAAGCCCTGGATGATCAGCGGCATCACCTTGTCCCTCTCCTGGGGGGACACCACCGGCCCTGTCACCTCCCAGTGCCCTCTCACCCCCCCAGTGTCCCATCACCCCTGTGTCACTGTCACCTCCCAGTGCCCTCTCACCCCCCCAGTGTCCCTGTCACCCCCAGGTCACTGTCACTTTCTCAGTATCCCTGTCACCCCCCCAGTATCCCTGTCACCCCCAGGTCACTGTCACTCTCTCAGTGTCCCTGTCACCCCCCCAGTGTCCCTGTCACCCCCCAATGTCCCTGTCATCCCCCCAGTGTCCCTGTGACTCACTCCTGCCCCCTCAACACACCTGGTCCCCCCCCCAGTATCCCTGGCACCCCCAGGTCACTGTCACTCTCTCAGTGTCCCTGTCACCCCCCCAGTGTCCCTGTCACCCCCCAATGTCCCTGTCATCCCCCCAGTGTCCCTGTGACTCACTCCTGCCCCCTCAACACACCTGTCACACTCATCCCTGCCACCCCCCTGTCCCCTGTCCCCAGAGTCACTGCGAGCCCCCTCCCCTGTCAGTGTCACTGCCACGTGCCCCCCATGACCCAGTGTCCCTGTGCTGCCTGTTGTCACTGTCACCCCAGCACAGTGACCTTGTGTCCCCTCCAGTCTGTCCCTGTCACCACTCTGCCCCTGCCACACACCTGTCCTACCTCGTCTCCCTGTCACCACCCTGCCATCCCCACGTACCTGTCTGTGTCCCCCCATGTCTGCTGTCCCCACACTGTCCCCACCATGTCCCTGTGTCCCCCCCATGTCCCCGTCACCTCCTCTCTCAGCAGCACCAGGACATTGTCACACCCAGGCAGTGTCCCTGTGTCCCCCCCGTGTCCCTGTCACCTCCTCGCTCATGCGCTGGCTGACGCTGAGCAGCATCAGGACATTGTCACACTCTGTCACCCCCATGGCGTACAGGTCACTCAGGACGTTGGCACAGGCGATGCGGCCCTGCAAAGGGGGAGGGGTCTGGGGGGTCTGGGACAGGAGTGGGGGGCCCAAAATGGGATTTGGAGGGGGTCCAGGACAGGATTGGGGGACCCTGATGGTGTTTGGGTGGGCCCAAAGTGGAATTGGAGGAGGGGTCCAAGGTGGAGTTTGGGGGCCTTGGGATCAAATCTGTGGGGTCCAAAGGGGATTTGGGGTCCCCAGGGAGGATTTGGGGTGCCCAGGGTCAGATTTGGGGGTCCTTGGGGGAATTTGGGGTCCCCAGGGGGGATTTAGGGTCCCCAGGGTGGTATTTGGAGGCTCCCAGGGGGGATTTGGGGCGTCCAGGGTGGGACTGGGGGCTCCCCAGGGGGGATTTTGGGTCCCCAAGTGAGATTTGGAGGCCCCCAGGTGGGATTTGGGGTCCCCAGGGGGAATTGGGGTGCCCAGGATGGGACTGGGGGGGGCTCTCCAGGGGGATTTGGGGTCCTCAGGGTGGGATCTGGGGTCCTCAGGGTGGGATTTGGGGTACCCAGGATGGGATTTGGAGGCTCCCAGGGAGGATTTGGGGTGCCCAGGGTGGGATTTGGGGTCCCCAGGGAGGATTTGGGGTGCCCAGGGTGGGACTGGGGGGTCTCCAGGGGGGATTTGGGGAAGCCCAAGTTGGGGTTTAGGGAGCCTGGCACAGAACTGGGGGGGTCACAAGAGGATTTTGGGGACCCTCGGGAGGATTTGGGGGGCCCAGGAGAGGGCTAAAGGATATTGGGGGGGTTTTTGGGGGCCAAGGAGGGCTTGGGGGACCCAGGAATATGAGTGGGGAAGCTACAAGGAGATTTGGGGTTCCCAGGGGGGATTTGGGGGTCTGCAGATGGAATTTGGGGGGCCTGAAAGGATTTGGAATGCTCAGGGTGGGGTTTGGGGGCTCCAGGGTAGAACTGGGAGACCCCAATTGGGTCTGGGAAGGGGCCCAGGAAGGTTTGGGGGTCCCAGGAGGGAGGAAGAGGCTCAGGGGGGAATTGGGGGGACCCCTGGAGGGATTTGGGGTTTCCCAAGACTCCTGATAGGATCTGGGGGGTCCCCAGGGCTGATTTTGGGATGCAAAGGGGTATTTGTGGGGTCCCAGGGAGGTTCTGGGGGGCAGAGGGTATTTCTGGGGTCCCAGGGGGTGATTTTGGCATCCCAGCGGGGGTTTTGGGGTGCAGGGGGTATTTTTGGGGTACCATCATGTAGGGGTCATCGATGATGGGGTAGAAGAAGTCGGTGGTCTGCACCAGCGAGAGCCCCCCGTGCCGCAGCGGGATCACACACGAGTCCAGCCCGATGCCTGCGGGCACCGAGGGGGCACCGAGGGATCAGGGGGGCACCAGGGGGGCACCGAGAGCTCAGGGGGGCACCGAGCCCATCCCTGGGGCACCGAGCCCCTCATGGGGGACACAACGGGGGCACCGAGCCCATCACGGGAGGCACAAGGGGGGCACCGAGCCCACCAGGGAGGCACGAGGGGGGCACCGAGCCCGTCATGGCAGCACAGCCCCCGCCGGGCGTGGGGGACCCAGGCTCGGGACAGACCCGGATGGGGAGGGGAACGCGGATCCGGGCGGGAGGGGGAACCGGATCCGCGGGGGCCCCTCCC